CGTTAAAAAGTCATAAAAAATATCATATCGTTAAATTATATCATAATTTGGGTAAAAATACATGAAACATGCTTAAAAAACTGTGAAAAATGTAAGAAACTGAGCAAGGTTCATCCGAGAGAAATAAAGAAAAAAATTAATTAGTATAAATAAAGTGAACTTTCTGTCTTTAGTATAAATAGAATGAACTTTCTGTCTTAGTTTTCCGTCTTAAGGTCATGCTGATGGGAGAAAGAGCGTGAGGGGAAATTTAAAGAACACTCTACAGACTGTCTATTGAAAGAACTTCTCTCGTCATTCGTCTGGAGCAGTGGCAGTAACTATGAATACGATATTTTACTATTTCAATACGTTATTTCTTGTTTCCATAGCAGCAGGCAGACTGGGACTTTGTGAAGTGACGAAGGAACTTCTTTCTATCGACAAACTGAACGTTAATTTAGATAAATATTAACTTCCAATCCCTGAACAAAAATAATGCAAAAAATAATTTTTAGGGACAGCAGACCTAATGATTTTTTTATTTACGAAAAGCCGGTAAAAAATGTACATATATTTGTTTACCTTTCGCGATAAATGTTGCTCTCTCGCTGTAAAAAAGCCGGGAAATTTTTTTTTTTTTTTCAAATTGGGGCTTCAAAATTTGAATTAATGAAGCCGTAATGTATAACAGTACATGACTGAAAAAAATACATTCACTTATTTAAAATAGATAAATTATACTACACAGAAAAAATAATAATAAACTTTCACATAAAATATCTCTAGAGTTAATGTCTGAATCGTTAACATTTTCATAAAAAAATATCATTCTTTATATATTTCTCTAAAATTGTGCAAGAAATTTTTTTTCATCCAACATTTATTACGTTGAGAATTACGCTTAAAAATTTTTCATACATAAAATGAAAAATTTATTAAAATTTAGGGAAATTTTTATTTAAAAACTATCAACTTTTTTTATTTCAGCACTTCAAGCAATTGAAAAAACAATGCAAGTGCTTCACGAAAAACTTGCACTTTAAGTTGGTTTTACAATTTCATGACCAAATAGTTAAAAAAAGCATGTTATGTAATATTTAAATGAAGTTTAGAAAATAAAGAATAGAATGTATATAGGAAAAAATCAAGAAGCAGTTTACTAAACATTTTTTCGTTGGAAATAGCCTTCGTAGAACAAATTAATGTTGTATACTTTCAACCAACCACAACATGTTGATAAAAAGGTAATCAAACAAATTAATTTGCATAATGGGTCAATAAAAGAAATTGAAAAACTTTCGTTAAAAATAAAATTAAAACAGCTTTTTTCCATTTAATTTCAATCTGTAAGAGAAATAAAGAAGCTTCAAAGATTAAAGCGGTACGAAGGCCTATACAAAAACTTTCTAAAACTGTTCCAGTAGTAATGTTGAGAACGAACCTTAAAACCTTCTTTTATATAATTAATGAAGTGAATCAATCTAATATTGTTCACTGTCATTAAATAATTCATAACTTAGAATTAGAAATGAAGTTAATTAAACTTTTATTCCTACAATCTGATTTGGAGTTCACTTCCTAATCTGTTTCCGACAAAGAAATTGGGTTTCTTGATCTCTCATGAAATATGCAATGCATTCTGGGTAGATATTTTTTTCTGATCAAATTCGGCTCACCTTTCCAAAATATTGTGAGGATTTCTATTTTTTAAAATAATGTATTCCATCACAATATTGTTTATAACATAGAATTGTTTATTAATAAATTATTCTGTAATGAATAGTTAAGCCATTCTGTAAAGCATTATTTCTATAATCACTAATATTTTATTAGATTTTACACACTGTAAGAAATATTGAAACGCTTCGAAACATATCGTTCAAATTCGCTGCAACTTCAATACGGTACCATATAATCGTGAAAATTGATCCTCCATGGACATGATTCTATAATGTCAACTCTAACAAAAATATGATTCAATTTAACTGTTATTTAGGTAGCAGAGCAATTTTCAGAAATGAAAATTGCTGTATGTATATATATATACAGGTGGTTATCAAAATAATGGAAACACCCCAGATTTTGAAGGAATCCTTTATTAATATGGCGTAGGACCACCTTTTGCATGCAAAACAGCTTGGATTCGCCTAGGAATCGAATCATACAAATTCTGAATAGTGTTTAGAGGAATATTGTACCATTCTTCATGGAGATATTGTGAAAGTTCCGTGAGAGATGCCGGTGGAGGATATCGATTCCGGATTGAAAGCTCTAAAATAGACCACAACGGTTCGATTATATTGAGGTCTGGGGACTGTGCTGGCCAAGGTAGATGTTCCACTTCATCCTCATGTTCATCAAACCATGATTGGACAACTCTGGCTGCATGAATAGGGGCATTATCATCCTGGAAAATTCCATCTCCTGCAGGAAACAAAATTTGCATCATAGGATGGACCTGGTCAGCTAAAACTTCTCTATACTTCTCCCCAGTGATCCTTCCTTTCAGGGTTACCATTGGGCCAGCAGAAAACCATGACACGGCTGCCCATACCATGACCGATCCACCTCCATGCTTGACAGTTGGATGGAGGCAATCAGGATCATACGCTTGTGCAGGTGTTCTCCAGACATGTACCCGTCCTGTTGTGGGGAAAAGTGTGAAAGACGATTCGTCTGACCATATAACAGTCTTCCACTTATCAATCGACCAGGTTTTGTGGTTGTGGCACCACTCTACACGACGTTTTGCATTAGCATCTGTGACAAGTGGCTTGGGAATTGCTGTTCTGCCGTAAATGTTCTCTT